TCATGCCTCGGAGGAAAAAGAAATAACATGCTGGCAGACTGGAGCTCAAACTTTCAGCAGCTAAATAACTAAAAAACAGCTACAACGATAGTTTGCACATATTTCAGAGGACTGAAAAAGCTGTAGATAGCATTAGCCACATGTATCGTAACCATAGCACAATTCCACTGGTCTTTGTGATAGTCTCCTATATCTTGTTATCTTCTTTCGCTTATATAACGCTCCACGGTCTCCATCCCAGTGCTACGGTCATATATCTGTTCTATGCTACAGATTTTTGTTTTTCTCCATAGTCATCTCTTATATATCTTCTATTGAAGATATGTTTTTATTACGTAGACTGCCGCTGACTATATTATCACCTCCCTAATTTACTCAGTGACTGGGCCTTCTTCAATATTCACGCTGCTGTTAGCGATATTTTCTAGTAGCGATATCTACCTCATATCAGGCAACCACTCATTTTACATAACAGAAGGTATCACGCACAGATCGTCAGTTTAATAACATATCCTTGGAAGCAACAAAATACTAAAAGAAAAATCTGATACATAGATGTAAATCGTTCTCATTATTCCAATAGCCTCAGGCAGTTTCCTAACAGTTTTGTTGATTGGGATTTATCATTATTGTCTTTTCTTTTCGCGAAGCTCATATCATTTTTGTGTAATCGTGTTACATAATGTTATACTTTACATGATCTTCTGCCACCATACTATAACTTCTCCCTTTTCATTTCTAGTTAAGATGGCGTCTCTTGGCTCCCTCTCGCCTCGCGCTTGTCGCGCAAACGTCTGACCTCAGAACTTGACTCATCCGTCATCGCGTCGAGAGACATCCTTGCAACGAGATAGCTGGGACTTAGCCTATACCATGCTCCACCCACACACATATTAACACCTCTTCCTCTAGCAATAGATAGCTCTTACTAGTGCAGTGTGTGAAGCGCCTAGAAAATCATTCTCCCTTGTCTCATGACTATACGAGCGCCACCCGCCCCCGCTCATTTTTTCTTCTATATATTCTGTATTTACTTGGCATTAATTTCTTTGTAGATTCCGCTGCTCTTTTTTATTATTTATGTTTAGCTAGAGACGTACTGTGTGTGGGGGTCTTGAGATCTTGACCCTCACCAGGCTGGCATCCAACGCAGGTCTCTCCCGGCCTATCTTCTATTATCTTTCTTTTATCTGACGCTGCTGCATACCAAATCGGTGCTTTTCATTGTCTTTCCAGCGTGCGTGGCTGACGGCGCTAGAGTCTCTACTAAAAAAAAAAAATAGAAATAAATGAGCCGGACGACTAAAAATCTATAGAAAAAATGAGGCAGGCGTGGTGGCGCACGCCTGTAGCCCCAGCTTCTCGGGATGGAGGCCGAAACAGGAGGATCGCTCGAGGTCAGGCGTTCGAAACCAACCTGAGCAAGATGGAGACCCCGTCTCTACTAAAAATACAAAGAAATGAGCTGGACAACTAAAAATATATCGAAAAAAAAATGAGCCGGGTGTGGTGGCGCGTGCCTGTATAGCCCCAGCTTCTCGGGATGGAGGCCAAAACAGGAGGCTCGCTCGAGGCCAGCAGTTGGAGGCTGAGCCCGGGCGACAGAGCGAGACTCGGTCTCCCCCCAAAAAAAAATTTTTAAAAAAGTGACACAAATCAGGAGGACAGAGGTCACCGAGGGACACCCACCATCCCCGACCCCCACGCCAACCCCCCAAGTCCCGTCGTCCTCCAGTCCCCGACGGACCTCGACCACGTCCGTGATGACGGGCAGCTGCAGCCCCGGCCGGTTCTCCTCGATGCCATCCCTGAGGCCCGTCACCTGGAAGCCAGCGGGCGTGAGCCAGGCCCGGCGCGACCTCTCCCGGGCCTTCCTGTCCTCTTCCTGGACGTCGAGGGGCTCCAGGGTGGCCGAGAGGAAACGCTGGGAATACGTGTACCTCCTCCCGGGCACCTGGAAGGGAGAGGCCGGGCGGCCGTGGGTGGCGGCTCCGAGGTGTCTTGCTATCTTCAGTCATTTATTCATTTATTCGTTCATTCATTTATTCATTCATTATTTATTCATTTATTCATTCATTTATTTATTCATTTATTCATTTATTTATTTATTCATTCATTTATTTATTCATTCATTTATTTATTCATTCATTTATTTATTCATTTATTCGTTTATTTATTCATTTATTCATTCATTTATTCATTCATTTATTCATTCATTTATTCATTATCTCATTCATGTTATTACTCATCTCATTTACATTTATTCATTCATTATTTATTCAATTCATCCATTATTCATTTCATCTCGATTTATTTATTTATTTGACAGACTGAGTCTCGCCACTGTCGCCTGGCTGGAGCCCGGCTCACAGCGGCCTCCAATTCCTGGCCTCCAGCGAGCCTCCCGCCTCAGCCTCCTCTCCCAAGTAGCTGGGACGACAGGCATGCACCACCACGCCCGGCTCGTTTTTTTTTCTGTATATATTAGTTGGCCAATTAATTTCTATTTTTTTTTTTTTTTAAGTGAGAGGGGTCTCGCTCTTGCTCAGGTGCTTTTGAACCCTGCCTCCACCGATCCTCCGCCTCGCCTCCTCCAGAGTAGCTGGGACACAGGCACGCGTCAACACCGTACGCCCGGCTTCATTTTTCTCTAACTTTAGTTGGCCAATTAATTTATTTCTATTTGGTTTTAGTACAGACGGGGTCTGTTCTACTCAAGGCTGTTTCACTCTGGCCTCGAGCCGATCCCTCCCGCCTCAGCTCCCTCCCGAGTACCTGGGACTACAGGCATCGCCTCACGCCCGGCTCAATTTTTTCTCTATATATATTTTATTTTATGTATGATTTTTTTGAGAACAGAGTGTCCTCTGTTGCCCAAGCAGAGTGAGTGCCGTGCCTCAGCCCTCGCTCACAGCAGCCTTCGATCCTGGGCTTGATTGCTGTGGCGAGGCTGCACGCACGGCCTCACTCTGCCGGGCGACAGGGCGTAGATTCTGTCTCAAAATCATGAATGAATAAAATTAAAATAATATACAAAAAAATGAGCCAGCGGGGTGGTCAAGCCCTGTCATCCAAGCGCTCTGGGAGGCCGAGCGGGAGGAGGTCGAGGCAGGAGTTGGAGGCAGCCTGAGCGAGACCCCGTGTCTAACTAAAAAATAAAAGAAAGCTGGACAAACGAAAATATATAAGAAAAAAAAATGAGCCGGCGTCTTGGCGCGTGCCGTTGTAGTCCAGCTACTAGGAGGGAGGCCGAGGCGGGAGGATCACTCGAGGTCAGGAGTTGGGGCCCCAGCCTGAGCAAAGCGAGACCGTCTCTACATGAAAAACAATAGAAATTAGCTGGACATTATTCTTATTAAATTATTTATTATCTATTTAATTATTATTATATTATGTTTGTCTGAGGCGGTATGCTTCATCTTGTCATTCCAGTCTATTTCCTGGTTGTCTGATTGCTATTTTGTTATGTTCATGGGTTTTTGAGAGGCCAGGACTTCTCTCTCGAGGTCAGGGGTTCTGATGATGGCTGCCTGACAAGTAGAAAGACTCTCCATCTCTACTAGAATAATATATAATTTAGAAATGTAGCTGGACAAGTAAAAATATATCAGAATAAATTAGCCAGGTCGTTTGAGTGTCATGCCTTGTAGTTGTTTCCCCTAGTTCGTGTTGTATGGAGGTCTGAGTCTGTTAGGTTATCGCTTCGAGTTGTAGTTCTGATATACCTCATGTGCTATGAAGCAGTCCCATCTCTACTTAAAAAAAAATAGCCGGGCAACTAAAATATATAGAAAAATACAGAGAAACAAAGAATATATAGAAACCGGACAACTAACAATATATAGAAAATATATTTTCTATAGAAAAGATATATAAAAAATATATGTATAAAAATATATAGAAAATATACAAAAATATATTTTTATATATAACTAAAATATATAGCCGGACAACTAAAAATATATAGAAAATATAGAAAATACATTTTCTATAGAAAAAATATATTAAAAAA